CCTCTGGGCACTGGATGTCACTGACTTGTCCCCGCCTCCTCTGGACACTGGATGTCACTGGCTTGTCCCTGGCCTCCTCTGGGCACTGGATGTCACTAGCTTGTCCCCGGCCTCCTCTGGACACTGGATGTCACTGACTTGTCCCCGGCCTCCTCTGGACACTGGATGTCACTGACTTGTCCCCGGCCTCCTCTGGACACTGGATGTCACTGGCTTGTCCCCGGCCTCCTCTGGGCCAGGCCTGGGTGGGGTTGGGATGCCATGTGAAGCCCACTTCCCAGGTGGACGGGGAGGGGACAGGCTGAGCACCTCCCCCCCAAGGTAGGGCTCAAGCCAGCAGGTGGCTCTCCTCTGTCCCGGGGATGCTCGGCTGTGCGTTAGTGCCCAGGACAGGAGGGCAGGGACGTGGCCGGATGCCAGGTGTCAGCCCCATGTCAGCCCTGCTCCACCCTGCCAGAACCCAGGCTCTGGATCCTCCCTCTCCCCTCCTGTCCTTCCACAGCCGCCACGCGGGCCGTGAGACAGGACACACCACGGAGGGAAGAGACATGAAGCTGGGCGCCGGTGGCTCACGCCTCTAATCCTAGCTACTCAGGAGGCTGAGATCTGAGGATCACAGTTCAAAGCCAGCCCAGATAGGAAAGTCCATGAGACTCTTTCCATTGAACCACCAGAAAACTGGAAGTGGTGCTGTGGCTCAAGTGGTAGAGCGCTAGCCTTGAGCTGAAGAGCTGAGGGACAGCGCCCAGCCCAGAGTTCAGGCCCCACGACCGGACCCCAAAAAAAAAAAAAAAGCGGTAAGGCGCTCGCAAAAGAGCTCAGGACAGCACCTGGCCCAGGAGCTCACGTTCCACGAGCCGAAAAAAGCTGAAAGTGGAACTGTGGCTCAAGTGGTAGAGTGCCAGCCTCAAGCCAAGAAAGACCGAGTGAAAGCACAAGGCCCAGCGTTCAAGTCGCAGTCCTGGCACAAAAGTAAGCGTTCTAATCAGCAAAGACCTTTTTTTTGTTTTTCTAAATCAGCTGACACACAGACCCGTGCACGTGTGCACGCGTGTCCCGGGGGTGAAGGTGTGGATGAGGTCCAGGATGCTGAGGACTGCTGTGTGTGACGTGGGGTGAGCTGGGAGGGTCCCCAAGGCCACCGAATGGTCACCCCCAGGGCTTGGACAAGCAGGCCTCATCCTGCCATCCTCCTCCCACGCCCCGACCTCCGGGACCCAGAGCCCCCCACACCCGATGTTTATGGAGAGACAGGAAGATCACGGGTTTGGGGGCCTGCGGGAAGTCTGCCCCCTGGGCCCCGGCAGGAATGTGCTGCGCTCCCTGAGCAGGGCTGCCGCCTTTGCACTGTTCTCCAAGATACACAAGCGCCCCAGAAAGCCCGCGGGGAGGGGGGCCCTTGTTTGTGCCAGTGCAGAGCAGCATTTGAAAGGGAACAAAAACCACACGAAAAAGGCTTGGGGGGGCGGGGGGCGGGCGATTTTCCATTCATCAGTATTTTCCATCTGTTTTCTTTTTCTAGTAGACACAGCATAGCAGGCTCTTTTAATTCCGCTTTCTTGCCGTCTGTCTTCTTTGACCGGCCCGTGGAGGTAGCCGGGCCCCGCGGAGGTAGCCGGACCCCGTGGAGGTAGCCGGACCCCGTGGAGGTAGCCGGACCCCGCGGAGGTAGCCGGGCCCCGTGGAGGTAGCCAGGCCCCGCGGAGGTAGCCAGGCCCGTCTGCCGCCAACTCAGGATCTTCAGGTTGGCTGTGCAGCCTCATGCCCAGCTCAGGTGCTTTCTGTTTTATTTTGATGGTCCTGGGTTTTGAACTCAGGGCTCCCTAGGCAAGTGCTCGACCACTTCCACTACAACTCCAGGCCTTCAGTTGCTTTTAGTTATTTTTCTTTTTTTGTCGGCCGTGGGGCCTGAACTCTGGGCCTGGGCGCTGTCCCTCAGCTCTTCCGCTCAAGGCTAGCACTCTACCACTTGAACCACAGCACCACTTGCAGCTTTTTCTGCTTATGTGGTACTGAGGAATCGAACCCAGGGCTTCATGCATGCGAGGCAAGCACCTTCCCAGCACTCCCAGGGCTTTGAGTTGGCTCTGGAAACTGATGGAATGTGTGGAGTCCCAAGGCCTCCAAGGAGTGGGCGGCCAGCCAGACCCCAGGCCTGGCTGCCAAGATCCCCAGGTGTTTCTCAGAGGGGGTCATGACCTGTGACCTGTGGCCTGGTAAGCTCACGTGCTGGTGCTCCAGCAGTCTGCACCCCCTCCCTACTTCTCGATTAGTGAGGAGGGGGTAAGGGTCCCTGAGTCTGGTCCAAGAGGACTTGAAGGTCAGTTCTTCTGGCCACAGCCAGTCCCAGGAGTTTCTTAGGAAACACAAAGGAAAAGCTGCTGCTCTTCTTCTGGGGACCCCAAGGGGGGAAGAGAGTCTGAGAGCTGTGTGCGGTGTGTGCGTCAAGGCTGCAGTGGGAGAGAATCGGTTCCTGTTGACAGTTTCTGTTCTCCTGGATCCACCCATGCCTGAAAGCCATGCTTGGACTTGTTAGTTGCTAGAATCAACAAGGGCCTCCTCCATCAGATCTACCTTGACTTCAGTTCTGTTCTGTGGGGGTCAAGGGCGCCTGCCTGGTGGGGAAGTCAGTGGGCTAGGGCACGGCTGGACGCAGAGGAGCGGGACTCACTCCAGAACTGGCCACGGGTGCCTGGCCCCACATTCAGTTCTGCTGGAACAAGGATGCAGGTGTGAATCAGCCCAGGGCTAACGAAGCCACGAAATTGGTGGCTTGGAGCTGCAGACCTCCGTGATTAGACTGCGTCACCTGGCCAAATACCTGTTTGGGGCGGGGAGGGGGAGGGGGAGGGGGAGGGGGAGGGGGCAGGCAGAGATCTGTTCACCTCATGGAGGACAGGAAGTGCCTGAGCTCAGGTCCGGCCTTCAGAGTCACAGCCCCTGGGAACCACATCCTTCCTCTAGGCCCCACCACTCAAAGTTTCCAGAATGTTCCTAAACAGCACCCCCTGCAGCGGGCCGTGGTGAGGGGCCCCTCTGCTCCACCGCTGCTGCCGCCACCATTCTTCCGGGTCTGTCCCTGGCCAGGCGCTGGTCCCTTGCGAGGACTCGGCACATTGGCTCAGAGCTCCCCCCTTCCCCGAATTCACCCGGCAGTGTCCACAAGACCCTCCTTTTATTCCTTTATTTACTTGTGCTGTTGATACGGAGGCGGCGCACAGCGGGGTCACGGCTACCAGAGTCAGGCGAGGCCCTCCCCACGGGGCGCACTGGCTCCCCAGCAACTCCCTGTGTGTGTGTGTGTAAGCCTGAACACTTATCTCATGCACCAAATATAGAGACATGGAGGATGGGGGCTGAGGGGAAGAGGGGCCCCAGGGAAAGGGGGTTACGGGAAAGGGGGGTGTGGGGAAGGGCAAAGAAAGCAGATGCATGACAAGAGCCCGGCATGCCGCGCTGGGCACACTGCAGACGGGAGCTGGAGGTTTTGTGGACAGAGCTTGGACATCCGGTTAACTGAGACTGACTGTCATGGCCGCCACTGTGGTGAGGACTCGGGTCACGCTGCCTGGCGGGCTGTCCATCCTGAGCCGGCCCTGTTGTCCCTTAGGGGTGGTTAAGGTTCTTGTCCTACAGATCCAGGCCTGTTCTTCCTTGGGTGATTGTAAAGGGACCGCAGAGAGAACTCTGCCCAACACTTGCCTCCTGCTTTTGGTCAACTCCTGGGCAGTTTTTAAGTACCTCTTATAGCTTAGTGCCATCAAAACTGGAGACCACTGTACCAGGGGTGTCCTGGCTTTTTAACAAAGGGGACTAGATGACCTGAGTACAGTAGTATACACCTGTAGTCTCAGCTACTTGGGAGGCAGAGGCTGGAGAATTGCTTGAGCCCACAAGTTAAAGGCCAGCCTGGGTAACCTACTAAGGCCCACTCTTGAAACAAACAAACGTAAAAGCCGAGTGCCAGTTTGTAATTCTAGCTCCTCAGGAGGCTGAGATCTGAGGACTGAGGTTAGAAGCCAGCCTGGACAGTTAAGTCTGTGACACTCTTATCTTATCTCCAGTTAATCACCACCAACAACAACAAAAATCTGGAAGTGGCACTGTGGCTTAGGTGATAGTGTTCTAGGCCTTGAGCAAAAAAGCTCAGGGACAGTGCCCAGGCCTTGAGTTCAAGCCTCAAGAACCAACTAAATAAATAAGCCGGGCGTCTGTGGCTCATGCCTGTCATCCTAGCTACTCAGGAGGCTGAGATCTGAGGATTGTGGTTCAAAGTCAGCCAGGCAGGAAAGTGCCTGAGACTCTGATCTCCAATAAACCACTCAGCAAACTGGAAGTGGTGCTGTAGCTCAAGTGGTAGAGCGCTAGCCTTGAGCTGAAGAGCTGAGGGACAGCGCCAAGGTCCGGAGTTCAAGCCCCCTGACCAACTACAAATAAATAAACAAACAAATAAATAAATAGCTACTGGACACCAGTGGCTCACCTGTAGCCCTAGCTCCTCAGGAGGCTGAGATCTGAGGATGGAGGTGAGGCCACAGCCCATTCAGGAAAGTCTATAAAACTCTTTAATTAACCAGCAAACAAATTCTAGAAGTGGAGCTGTGGCTCGAGTGGTAGAGTGCCAGCCTTGAGTCATAAGAGCCCTGGGACAGTGTCCCGGCTCTAGTATGGGCACCACAAGAATAAAATAAAAATCTTTTTTGGGGAAAAAAATAAAGCTTCAAACAAGCCAACGCTGAAGGCCATGCTCGGTCTCTAGCCGGCCAGTCCACTTCGCACAGAGCAGCAACACCCCTCCTCCCGCTTCGGGTCTGGGGCCTGCATGGGGGTGATTTGGGGGGGACTTTTGTGAGTAGGAAAGTGGCTCTAACATAGCTAGCAGCAAAGCTTTGAAGACTCCCCTCCCCTTGCACATCGTGAGCCAGGCGGGCCCCTGCGGGCGGGGCCCGGGAACGTGCCTGGGCCTGGGGTGCCCAGGCGGCTGGCCCGGGCTGGTCCCCTCACAGGCTGTCGCTGGTGGCCGTGGACGGCGGGTCCGTGTCGTCGGGCATGGGCTCCTCCCGCAGGGCGCGGGCCAGCACGGCCCCCAGGGACTCGCGTGGCCCGCGATGCTGTCGGCTGCCCACCACGAAGTAGATGAGCGGGTTGGCGCTGCTGCCCAGGGCAGAGGACAGGCGGGACAGGCAGACCAGCAGCAGCGTGGGCTGCTCGGGCAGGCGCAGCCAGTACAGGAAGAACCAGTAGAGGCCGAGCGGCAGGGAGCACACAAGGAACACCAGGACGGAGGCCAGGATGACCAGGTAGAGCCGCAGGGGCCGCCGGCGCCGGGGCGCGGGGCTCCACCGCACCCGCACGAACAGGACGGTGCTGGACACGATCATGAGGGGCGTGAAGCCCCCCAGGATGAGGCCGCTCATGACCATGTCCACGGTGAAGCAGTGCTGCGCGTCAGGGTGCCAGAACCAGCTGCAGAAGAGGGAGGCCAGCGCGTTGGTGAGCAGGGCCAGCACCCAGAGCCCGGCACACACGCGGGCCGACAGGTGCCGGGGCCGGCGGCACTTGTACCAGACGGGGAAGAGGACGGACAGGCAGCGCTGGGCGCTGATGGCCGTGAGGAGGCTCAGGCCGGCGGTGTAGGCCAAGTACTTGGTTCTCTTGAGGACCTCGTAGGCCTGGTGCACCGGCTCCGCCCGGCCCAGGCTGCCCAGCGGCCGGGTCTCCAGAACCAGCAGAGCCGCCATGCACAGCAGGAAGAGGAGGTCGGCGGCCGCCAGGTTGAGCACGTACACGCAGAAGGGCGTCCTCCGTACGCGGAAGCCCAGCAGCCAGACCACCAGGCCGTTGCCCGCCACGCCACACACGCACACGGCCATGGTCAGCGAGCTCAGCGTCAGATAGCCCACGGTCATGCCATCCGGCCCCGGGGGCTCCCCGGCAGGCCGCGGGGCCGGGGCGCTGCTCACAGCACTGCTCATCCCTAGGGAGAGAAAGGCAAAAAAAGGAGATTCTAGAAGTTTCCTGGACCATGGGAGACTTCTGGGGGCTTTTCTATTCTGAGTTGCATTTGTGTGTGTGTGTGTGTGTGTGTGTGTGTGTGTGTGTGTTATACTCAGGGCCTGGGTGCTGTCCCTGAGCCCTTATGCTCAAGGATGGCACTCTTCCACCTGAGCCACACCTCCTCTCCTGGCTTTTTGTTAGTTAATTGGAGTTTCATGGACTTTGCTGCCTGGGCTGGGTCCAAATCGCTGTTCCGTGCAGGGCTTCCTGCCTCTTGGTGGGCATTCAGTGTTGGCACCGATGTTAACGTAGGAGCCCACTGTCCAGTTCCAGTCTTGGCAGCTGACTGGGTTTGGCTGCATGGAGCATGGACTACTGAGTTCAAACGTGGAGGCCGGGGGAGTGGGCGGGAGGCTGAGGCAGGTGACTATGCAGGTTTATTTGTACCACGTTTCTAGGTTGCCTGTTGAGTCTTCTGGTTTTCTGTGTTGATATCAAAGCACTAAATTCTTTCTTTTGTCTTCAAGCACAGCCCGTGTTCTTGCTGAACAAGAGCTCAGGCACACTTGACTTCCTCCTTATCATAGAAGAAAACGTGTGGAGCCAGACGCCTGCAGCTCCTGCCTGTCATCCCAGCCACTCAGGAGGCTGAGGTCTGAGGATCACAGCTCAAAGCCAGCCCAAGCAGGAACATCCCAAAGCTTTTGTGCTCAAGGCTAGTGCTCTACCACTATGAGCCATGGTGTCATTTCTGGCTTTTCAGTAGTTAATTGGAGATACGAGTTTCGTGGACTTTCCTTCCCTGGGCTGGCTTTGAATCTCGATCCACAGATCTTAACTTCCCAAGTAGCCAGGATTACAGGTGTGAGTCACCTGCGCTCGGCCCAGGAGACTCTTCAATAAAGCACAAAAAAACAGAAGTAGAGCTGTGGCCATGAGCCCTAGCTTTCAGTAGGAAAGCTCAGAGACATATCCCAGGCTCAGAGTTCAGAGTTCAGAAAAACAATGTGGCTAAAGATTTTCTATTAGATCTGTTACACGCTCTGTCTTTGGTATGATCTTACACCAAGATGAGAGAATTTGGCTGGGTTTCCTGGCTCCTACCTGGAATCCTAGCTTCTCTGGAGGCAGAGCTAATCAGGAGGGCTCTGGTTGGAGGCCAGCCTAGGCAAAAGTTTGAAGGAGTCCCATCCTAACCAGCAGGTAGTGACCACCTGTCATCCTGGCTACCCAGGAAGTATGGATGGGGGGCTGTTATAATCCAGGCTGGTCTGGACTCTTCATTACTTAAAAGTAACACAGACAAAACAAGCTGGGGTGTGGCTCAAGTGAGGGAGTCCCCATCCAAACCTGAGTTCAGAGAGAGGGGGGGGGATGAATGTTCCCACTTTTCCAAGAGTTTTGTCACAAATATGTGATGAGATTTGCCCCAAGCCTGTCTTCTGCTTTGAGAAACATTGTCAGATTCTTGTCTCCTCGCAGGCCTGGGTATGTGGTCAATGTACACTCAGACTTTCTGCAGATACACATTTATTATTTGTCCTCACATTTGTAGATTAAACCATAATGCGGGTAGTTTCTTCTGTTTTCTGCGTTGGGTTTGGGCTGTTTCATTTAGTATGTTCTCGTTGCTGTTCATTATCCGTGTTTCTCTGGCACGCCCGTCTGGATTTGTGTGAGGGTTGTATGCTTCGTGAAAGGGCCTGGGGAGCTCCTCTTTCCCCATCGCTCCGGAACAGCGTGTATCATGCAAGGATTATCTTTCTTTGAAGTTTTGGCAGAAGGCAAAACCATCTGGTAATTTCTCTGTGAGTGGGAGGGGATGTGCATTGTTCTAAAACAGAACTACAAATCCAGTTTATTGAATAGGTCTACGAGCTTTTGTGTGTCTGTGTGTGGCAGTGGGGTTTGAACTCGGGACCCTGCATTTGCTGCTCAGCCATCATGTGCTGCGGTGCCTAGGGTGGTCCCTGTGCCGGAGCCCTGACCTGAGTGGGAATGACTGGATGCAGATCCTCGCAGGTGTAATTGAGGATCTGAAGACCAGATTGTCCTGGATTGCTCATTGGTGGGATCTTTGTAAGAAGCCAGGTGCTGGTGGCTTACACTTGTAATCCTGAGGATTTCGGTGTGAAGCCAGCGTGGGCAGGAAAGTCTGTGAGACTATCTCCAGTTAACCACCAAAAACTCAGAAGTAGAACTGTGGCTCAAGTGGCAGAGCACTCACCTTGAGCAGAAAAGGCTCGGGTGACGCCCATGCCTTGAGTTCAGGGCCCAGGATCAATGCGCAAGCACGCGCACGCGTGCGCACACACACACACACACTCAAACACTATTGCTATGTGTGTATATATCTGTCTGTCTGTCTATCTATCCTATCAAGGTAGCCTTGGCTTTCCTGGTCTCACTTCAATTGTTATCTTTTCCCTTAAAGTCACAGAAAGGGTGTGAGGCATCTCCTGGGATCTCGTCCAGGATGGCCAGGCTCCCGTGGTCCTCAGCCTGCTCCCCGAGGGCCCGGCTGGCCCCACCCTTGTCCCCGGCTTGTTCCAGCCCTGCCACAGCCACCAAGGTTGCAGGCACCCGAATCTGCATCCTACATTTGTTCCAGATGCCCAAAGCCCAGGTTTGATGTCCTCCTCCTCAGGAAACAAGGCTCCGAGAACTTGGGACACCTGCGCAGGTCACCTGGCCGCCCTGTCCCAGCAGGGCTGCCTCCCCTCCCCCGACTCCCCCCTCCCCCCAGCCAGGCAGGCTCAGAGCACCTGCAGCGAACTACCACCCTCTCCTGTCCCCACCCAGACTGGAACCCAGGCCCTCACCTGCCTGTGGCTGTGGCTTCCAGGAAGGGTGCCGGTCCCTCGGGGCTCTGGTCCCTCAAGACCTCAGGAGCTTCTCCTTGGCCCAGGTCCCAGCCACTCCTGCCCTGTTCTGGCTGGGGCCGGTCTGTGCCTCTCTCCACCAGACCCAGCTGCTCTCTGCTAGCTCACGATGCCTCCACCCCCCAGGAGCCCTGGGCCAGGGAACCCATCTCTGAGAAGTGCAAAGGACCTGAGGTATAAAGGCAGGAAGGGCACCGCCCGCCCTCTGCTGACCTGACTCAGAGGAGCTAATGGGCCTCCTGCTCCCTAACCAGGCCCCCGAGGGGCTGGGGCCAGCTGGGAGGAGCAGCAGGAGGACCACCCTCTTCCCGGACCGGGATGGTTATCTACCTCCCTTCCTGAAGGTGTCAGAGCATTAGCATTTGGAGTCGGGTGGGGCCATGTTGGAAAAGGGGGCTTGTGGGCTAGGAAAGCATATAATGGACACCCCATTACCCTGCAGGGGGGAGGAGGGGAGATGCTTAGGCTAATGGACGGCCCAGACGCTGCTTTCTGCGGGCTAGGGAGGAAGGCGCCCTGGACCCCGAGTCTGGGATCTGATCTGCCATGGGTGGGCGCCATCTTGGATTCTGGCTACCACGAGCCTTGGCCCTGGCTGCGGCCCCCTGAGGGGGGCTGGGCGGGCCGCACACCTCCAGGGCTTGTTTCTGGTTTTGTCTTTTCAGGTGGGGGTGAATGGGGTACGGGAACCCTATGGTGAACTAGGTTTAGAGAGGGGTTACTACTTCGTGCTGGGAGCTGTGAGGGCCTTGGATTGCATTGCTCAGACTTGATGCGGATCCCCGGTACCGCAGACCCTCGCCCTGCCTGGGAGAGAGGGTCTTGAAGGAGAGAATCAAGTTCAAATGAAGTCAATAGAGGGCGCTCTAAGCGAATTTCACCGTTGGCCAGCCACCAAGAGAACTTGAGGACGCAGGCAAGTATGGCCCACCCACAAGAGGGCTGTCACGCAGGGGAAGGAGCACCTTCAAGTGCAGAACACCACCCTGGCGCCCCTGCATCTTCTAGACTTCAAGACTAAGAAAGTAAGTGGTGTGCAATGCTCATGCCTATCTTCCTTGGGAAGCCCAGAGTGTGTTGTGGGGGGGGGGCTTGGAATCACAGTTCCAGGGCAAGCTGTGACAGAAGTTAGTGAGACTCCATCTCCAAAGAGGGATGCTTGCGCCTGCTAGTACACGCATGCCACCCAGCTGGGTCAGGCAGCAAACTAGGTAGATGAGGTCCAGGGCTGGACAGCCAGGCAAAAATCCAGACTCTGTTTCCAAAAGATGGAAAGCTGGGCGCTGGTGGCTCACGCCTGTCATCCTAGCTACTCAGGAGGTTCAGGTCTGAGGCTTGCAGTTTGAAGCCAGCCTGGGCAGGAAAGTCCATGAGACTCTTATCTCTAATTAACTACCAGCAAACTGGAAGTAACACTGTGGCACTTAGCCTTGAGCAAAAAAGCTCAGGGACAGTGTGCAGGCCCTGAGTTCTAGCCTTACAGCTGACAAAAAGGGCTGGAGGCATGGCTCAGCACCTGCATAGCAAGCCCTGAGTTCAGGCTCTAGTACCACCAAAGGAAAAAAAGAGATTGTGGGAAAATGTACCACTGGTCAATGGGGGGGGGGAGGGGAGAGGCAGGCCCGGAGGTCCTGGGCATGGGTGGTCTGTAGAGGGCAGACTGCCATGAATGCTAGTCATTTCTCTCCTAGGGAGAAGTGAGCTGTTTTCTGTTATCGATAACACAACTGAAGTTTGGGGGAAACATTTTAAACCCAACAGGTCTGGGAGAAGGGGGTGGTAGACCATGAGGGGAAGTGGGGTGCCATTTGCCTAGTCTGCCGGCCATGCTCAGTTACCAAGGGCAACCACGCCCCAGCTCCCATCGCTCCAGGGGAGGAGGCCCCCAGCCTGGACAGCAAGTGTGATTGTCAGGAGTTTTTCTGGAAGTGATCAGGTTAGGACAGGCGCTTCGGTATTGGCTGTTTGTAGACAGCCAGGGGCTGTTGGCTACCTGAGGTGCAGCTCAGTCATGAAGAAGAAATGCAATTCAGTCAGGTGCTGGTGGCTCATGCTTGTAATCCCAGCTACTCAGGAAGCTCAGATCTGAGCATCCAGATTTGAAGTCAGCCCGGGCAGGAAGGTCTGTGAGACTCCTATCTCCAGGTAGCAGAGCTGAAAGTGAGCCGAACTGTGGCTCAGGAAGTAGAGCCCAGCCTTGAGTGAAAAAAGCTCAGGGACAGTGTCCAGGTCCTGAGTTCAAGCCCCAGGACTGAAACAAACAAACAAAAAAGAGTAAATGTAACTTTACAGACAGAAGGAGAGATGAGAAACAGTAAAAAGAGCAACGGAAGAGCTGAGAGAACGCCGTGTGTCTGAAGCCAGAATCACTTCTGGAAGTTTCTGGGTGTCTGAGTACACACCCTGCCCCAATGGATGAAAACGGGGTCTCTGTTTCCTGTCACCCTGAGTCCTGGCCGGAGTGGGGTGCAGATTGCTGGGCTATGGTGGGACCGAGGCCATAGTGATGGCCAGGTGGCCGGAGAAACTTCTGGAATGGGAATGAAATCCTCCTGTGAATTGATCTCTGGTCACAGGGACATCCCTACACACTTGTCCCAAATCACAGGACTGTCTGGGAAATGGGCACATTTTATTGCATGTCAATTAGATTCATTATAAAAACTGAAGACAAAATCTTCCCAGAGCAGGTGAGCCCTCTCTCAGATGGAAACTTCGCCCTGTAGTCTGACTCATCCAGCTAGCCGAGTTTTCCATGAGTTTGAATTTTATAAAATGTGCCCGGCTGTTTCTCTGTCCACCAACTTTCTGGGGGCCCTGGCTCCAGGCTTCACACTGGCTGGGTCTTGGTGGCTTTGAACCGGGAAGCTCTGGGCACTGTGTACCTGGCAAAGCTGACCCGTCTCTGAGCACCCTCTTCCCCATGAGACCACAGTTCCTGGAAAGGGGGAGCGGGCTCCGCTGAGGATTCTCAAGCAAGCAGTACAAACGCAGATTGAGCCTGAGACCCCCTGCAGGAGTTACCTGCAAGCCGTGGCTGGCAGCGTGTCTGGGAAGCCCCGCTGACGCTGACAGCACAGCAGGGAAGACGGGGGATGGGAAGACAGTGAGTAATTGGACATGAGTCTCATGGATTTTCCTGCTTGGCTGGCTTCAAACCGTGATCCTCAGATCTCAGCCTCCGGAGAAGCTAGGACTACAGGCGTGAGCCACCGGCACCCAGCTTCCTTCTAGCTTATTTTTGTAGAGGCCATGGGTGGGAGGAAGTAGGAACAACCTAGAGGGCTGCCCTGGCCAGCACCCCCCTTTCCCTCCTCCCCTGCTCTGTGTCACGTGCCGGCAGAAAGTTAGAACCATCGGGCAGCTCCTTAACAGGCGTTAAAACGTCCACTTCCGGACTGTGGCATCTGACCGTGGAGTGGGTATCCTGGAGAACGGCTTCACTCTGGGGCTCCAGGGTAGAAATCTGGGACGCTTGGGGGTCCCCCCAGCTTCCTGCCTCTACCCAACGCCTAGAAAGGAGGCCCGGGAAGGCCTGGGGACCCAGCGGTGCAGCACAGCCCTCCACCCCTGCAGCTCCAGACACAAACACCGAGGGAGGGAGGGGGAGGAGATGCCTGCAGCCTCTGCCCATGCCGTCCTCCAAGGTCTCCCCTCCCTCAGCATGGGGGGAGGTGAGGCTCTGCACCCTGGTCTGACTGCAGTGATGTGGGCCTTCGAGGGGTCCAGAGCCCGGATTCGGGGGATACTTTTAGTCCCAGCCCAGGCATGTCCGCTGTGTCCTGCTGTAAGGTTGGAGACCGCCACACTGACGCCTTGTCTATGGTACTGAGCAGCACTGGGGAGTGGCAAGGTGAAGGCCAGGTTCCCAGCACTGGGTGCGGGGCGTGTGGGGACACCGATGATCTCCCCTGAGCCCCAGCGCGGTCCCTCACCCCAGGTCCCCTCTGCCCTGCCGCAGTGGGCGGCGACGGTTGGAAGCCAGCCAGAAGCCAGCGCCTTGCCTCACACTGTCATCCCAGCTACTCAGGAGGCTGCTAGCTCCTCAGATTGCTTGAGGATCAGGGCTCAAGTCCAAGACTCTTCTCTCCAGTTAATCAGCAAAAAGACCAAAATGGAGCTGTGGCTCAAGTGGTAGAGCGCCAGCCTTGAGTGGAAAAAAAAAACAACTAAGGGAGACCACCTAGGCCTGAGTTCAAACCCTAGTACAGAACAGAAAGAGAGAGGGGGAGAGAGAGAGAGAAAGGAGGGACAAATGGTATGCGAAGCCAGCTTGGGGGGGCACATTAGGGCCGTGGTTTTAGAGGGGTGTCAGCTCCCCGCGGAAGGGGCTACAGCGTGCCGGGCTGCCCCCGGGGTGAGGCGGCGGAGGCTCAGGTGCGGCTGCCCTGGCCCCCCGCCGCTCCTGCTCTCAGGGAGGAGGGCTCAGCTTCCTGGCAGGCCACCTCCCTGGGGCTCTATGTGGGGTCCTGGGGTGTGCGGGTTCCCCCAGGGATTCTCCCCAGGTGGCCTGGGGTGGAGCAGAGGCGGGAGGGGGCCCGGCTGGGAAAGCTCCTGGCCTAGGATGGGACAAGGAGAGGAGGCCAGGCCAGGGAGGCCAGCCCCTGCCTAGAGGACCGAGGATGGGGACTGGGCAATCGTAGCCGCTGAGGCCACTGCTTCAGGGGGTCCCACAGGGACCCTGCGTCCCTTGGAGGGTTCCCCAGGGATCCAGGAGGGCAGGGAGGCGGCCGTGGGTGTCGAAGCCTGCGGAGGAGTCTCCGGAGGGGGAGAGGGGCGGGAGGGACGGGCAAGGAAGGGCTGCTCCTCCTGGCATTAGCTGCCCTCAGCACCCTTTTAGAGACCCCCAGAGAGGACAGGCAGCATTAGGCCTGCCTGGCTGCAGGATATAAAATGTTTATTGATATACATTTTATGGTCTTAAAAAAATCTTCCTTTGGCTATGCAGCCTGTGTGCTTATTGATGGGCGCCGTGGGGCCAGGCCGTGGGGGAGGAGGGAAGACACATCCAGCCCACCGGGGTGGCGCCGGAGCCTGAGGGCTCCATCCAGAAGCTGCCAGCACAGTCAGTCAGGGTCTAGAGGACCCAGGGCACTCAGGGGGCTGCCTGGGGCTGGCCACGCGCAGTCAGGACAAGCAGCTCCCGGCCCAGGCCCCCAGTCTCCAGGGGTCCACCAGGCCCAGACTCCCTCCTACCACAGCCACCGAACGAGCCACTGAGGGGACAGGGGCTGGTGTGCACAGCATAGCTACAAAACAAGCTAACGGAGCCCCGGAGGGACAGACTCGGTGAGAGCGCTCCCTGCTGGTGGGGCTGATACCATTGCTGGCCCGCTGGGGGGGAGCTGGCTGGGTCACTGTCCCGAAGCCCTGAGGAAAGGGCCAGAAGGTGGATACAGCTCAGGACTACCTTCTCTCCTTGACTCACCAACCTCGGGGCCAGGGGGACCCCAGTGCTCTGAGGTCAAGTGAGGTGGGGAGGCTCAGGCCCCCAAGGTCTGTTTGCAGGTGGCCGCTCCACCTCTCCCGGGCAGGAGGGCTGCTTCTCCCTTGGCAAGGCGTCCGTGGGGGCCCCGGGGCCAGCTCCCCGGCCTGGCCGGGCCCCAGGTGCTGGCCTCTCAGGAGGCATTCCCGGAGGGACACTGCATCTCCATGGTGACAGTGTTGGGGGTGCTGCCCGCGGCCTCCCCTGGCTCCGCCCCGTCCCGCAGGGCCCGCTGGAAGACCACCCGGAGGGGCTCCCACAGGCGCTGAGACTTGTCCCTCCCGGCCAGGAAGTAGACGACGGGCTTGGCGCTGCTGTTGATGCAGATGCACAGGTCGGTGACGTACTCGGGGAAGGGCGCAGGGATGTGGAACACCCAGAAGAGGAACCAGTCTATCCCCAGGTAGATGGAAGACACCAGGAAGATGGACACCAGGGCCAGGACCACGTGATTGAGCTTGGCGGAGCGCTGGCGCCGCCGTGCCCAGCACTCCACGTGCAGGATGAGGGCCAGGCAGGGGAGCACCATGAGCGGGCAGAACAGGAGGAAGAGGAGCACGCCCAGGGAGATGTCCGTGTGTCTGCAGGCCCTCCCGGAGACCTCCCGGCCCAGGAACACGCAGAAGTAGCTGTGGATGGCCGTGGCCAGGATGGACAGCAGCCAGAGCAGGGCGCACACCACGGCCGAGAGGCGCTTGGGCCGCCGGCGCCAGTACCAGGCGGGGAAGATGACGGACAGGCAGCGCTCGGTGCTGACGGCCGGCAGGAGGCTCACGCTGGCCAGGAACGTGCAGAGCCCCAGGATCCGGGAGACGCCGCGGATGTAGTCAGCGAAGGGGCCCAGGAAGCCCCCCGTGTTGAGGAGCGAGAACACGGCCTTGCTGAAGAGGTAGGTGCCGTCTGCGCCCGCCAGGTGCAGGAAGTAGATGGAGAAGGGAGTCCTCTTGATGGAAAAGCCGAAGAACCACAGGACCAGCCCGTTGCCCACCAGGCCGCACAGGCAGAGCAGCAGGAAGATGTAGTTCATGACGGCAGGGGGCGGGAGCAGGGCGATCTGCTCTATGGTCAGGAAGCCCCGGCTGTAGAGCTCTGGGGCCTCGCTCACACCAGGACACATCTGCGTGGGGTAAAGGGATGTGAGCACCCCAATCCCAGCCCTAGTCTCTCCCCCCCCTTCTCTCTCACACACACACACACCATGTCCTATTTGCTACTCAGGGGCCAAGGATTAGAAGTTGCTGCCTCACGATGAGAACCCAGCCCCCGGTTCCGGCTGCAGCTCAGAACGGCATGCCCAGGGGGCTGCAGCCACCCAGGCTGCGATTGGGACAGTCCAGACATGTCCTTGTCACAGGAGACAAGGAAGGATTACCAAACTGAGGGAGACCAGAGTCAGGACCGATAAAACACTGTGCTATGATCCCAGAGTCCATCCTGGGCCTGGACACAGGCTACAGACAGCGGACACGGTGGGGACAGTCCCCTGAAGGGAGCATGGACGCGTGCAGGGCACCCGTGAGTGGACAGCAGGAACACACATTGTGTTTCCTGAGGGTGCAGGCTCCACACAGTGGCAAAGGGACTTGGTGTCTGCACCCTATTTTCCAGTCATTCTGGGAAGTAAAGTCCAGCTATTAAAAGATCTTTAGCGAGAGAGAGCCTACGTGGTGAGATTCTCAGATCTAATGTTTGTGGTTCAAAGCCAGCCCAGGCAGGAAAGTCTGTGTGACTCTTTACTTCACTAACCTACCAAAAAGCTGGGAGTGGAGCTGTGGTTCAAGTGGTAGAGCACTAGTCTTGAGCAAAAGAAGCTCAGGGACAGGGCCAAGCCCTGAGTTCAAGTCCCAAGATGCACGTGCACACACACACTGCTTCTAAAGAAATAAATAATTTGTAAGACAAATTTTTAAAAATAATGAATCCTGCCCCCTAGTAGGATGAGTGAAGGCTGTGGGGATGGGAGAAGGGGGCCATGCGGGTGCGTACAAGCCTGAGGGAGCACATGCTGGGATGGATTAGTGATGTCTGCAGGGGTGTAGGGAGGAGTTGCAGTGCTCAGGGTGCTTTGCTGCTAGGAACAGGAGGTGGATCCCTACAGAGAGAGCATGTTCATCAAATGACCAGGGAACTAGGGACAGAGGTGGCTGCTCTCTGTCAGGACAGAGATGCCCTTTGGGGTGCTGGATTGTGAGAAAGTCCAGAAGACCCTAGAGAGGAGAGAGGCTTGGGACGGGGCTGTCTATCAAGCAGAAGGAGGTGTTTTGATAATTAACAGCGGTCTGGTTTAGAGGGTGGCCGCCTGCTGGGCTGATGTGTGAGTGGGTGAAGCTGGGCCAGGTGCCCAACACCACTGAGAGCAGGAACAGTGGCCAGGCCACGGGCGCCCACCCGAGCTGGCAGGTATCGGCCTCTGCTGCAGCTGGTGGCACTGGGTGGGTCCTGAGGGTGGAGAAGGGGCTCCTCCCTACTCCCCAGAGAACTCAAGACTGCCACGAGAAAGATCCTGATCTTCTCAATCTACCATTTAAAAAACACAGAGCCGGCCAAACACGGCCCATTCACAGGCTGGGCTGTTCTCAGGGTTGTTTTTGACCTCTTGTTCCCCCGTGGCAAAGGCCCTCCTCCCCACACCCCTGCAGACATCACTAATCCATCCCAGCATTCTCTCCTCCTCGCCCCCCCCCTCCCTGGGCCATTCCACTCTGGTGGCTCAGGGCTCTGCAACAAAACAAACGGGAGTGTGCTAGAGGCAGAATACTTTCTGTCATTCCTTGGTAGAAAGCTGGGTCCTAAGAAATTGTTTTGTCTTGACTGCCCCCAACAAAGGGGAGGATCTTCTGGCCTGCTTTGGGTCAAAGCCAATGAGCAAATGGAAACTGGAGGTGCTTGCTAACATTTGGGGAGGACCCAGGAGGTCTTGCAGCATGGGGGGGAGGGGGGGACTTGCTCGCCACCTGTCATCCTACAAATACTCAGCAGCTAACATCTAAGTATCTCTGTCCACCCAAATCTGGCTGCTTAGCTTGCTCTCTGCTTCCTGATCTTGAAGCCACCAGCTACAGCAGGCCTGGGAAGCTCTGCCCAGTGGAGACAGCCTGAGGCTCTGTAAGACCCTGCCCAAGGACTAGCTCAGCCTCTGGGAGGGAACTGGCCTGCGGGGGCTGGACACAGCAGGGCAGAGTAGCCAGGGCTTCTTGTGTCTCTCCCAGGCTGGAAAAAGTCTGCAATCCCGGCCGGCCTGGGGTGAGTCACCGGGATCCAGCTGCCATTCCCAGCCGTGCACTGCCTTGGAAAACACCGGCCCCCTCCCGGAGCCCTGAGCGTGCTGGAGACCTCTGGAGAAACCCCTTGACAGGCTGGCACTCAGCCATCATTCCACAGTGGTCCCTGTGGGATGGAGGGAAAGGGCCAGCAGAGCCATGGGCACAGGGGTGGGGGTGGGCAGGAGTCATTTACTATCCTGACCCATGCCTCAGTTTCCTCCAGTGCAGAAGATAAATTGGAGATAAATTCCTTCCAACTTAAGCATCCTGCCCAGGACTTGCAAGGAAATTCCAGACTTTTTGAAGGGCTCAGAGTTGGAAAGCTGTCCATCTGTCCGTCTGTCTGTCTAACCTCAAAGAGGACTGGTGCCTGCTAATCTCAGCTACTGTACCCTGGCCTGGGTGAGATGGAGCATGAGACCTCAGAGCTACCAAGCCAGTGAGTGTCTCAGGGTTTGGGGGCAGGGCCTGGTGACAATTGCCCATCTCTGCGGGGAAGGGATGAGATGAAGGAGGGTAAAAGGTAACTCAGTGGGAAGAGACTTGCAGAGTACTTAGTACCTGTGTTTATCTTACTGAGGGCTCAGGGCACTGCAGGCCCCAGCAAGAAGGCCAGGCTGCAGGGTCCAGAGCCGGCTCCCAGTCCTCTGCAGCCTGGGGGTGTATGTGTGGGGATCTGAAAGACTGGATGTGGGGAAGGGATGCTGGGTGGGCCCTGCCTTTTCCACCCAGGCCTTCCAGCAGCCCACACCCTGCTCTGCCCTGGCACTTGCCTTGTTCCTGTCAGGATGAGTCTCCCAGGAACAGTTTCCAGCCATTTCCAACTCCCGATCACAGCTCACCAGCCTGGAAAAATCCCAGAGAGATGTGGAGTGAAGGCAGCAGGGGTGTCCCCTCCTTACAGCCCCTCCGTCTCCCACACCCCTTCCAGGCCCCCAGAGTTTCCAGAGGCTCTCTCCTGGTGGGTGGGACCTGGAGATGGGCATCTACATTGTGGCACAACCTTTCTTGTCTGTGGGCTCCATATTCAGACTCTCTGGTCCCCTGGGGTCCACAGCCTCTCTAGGGGAAGGGTTTGGGGGAGGAAGCCCTCCCCTTTCCCTTGTCACTTAGCTGGCAAGGCATCAGGAACCAGATTGTTTCTGGTACAGGCACCTGGGTGTTTGGACAGTGGGACCCCAGCAATCACTCTGAGAAAGGGAGAGGCAGATTATCAAGACAGAAGGACTTCCTGGAGGAGGTGGCCCTTGGCTGGGCCTTGGGTTTGTAACCTGCTCAGGCATCCGAGCTCCACCCCGCCCCCCCACCAGGTGCCTGGCCCAGGCTGAAGGCTCCCCCCCCCACCTGAGCCCTTCACCCATCCCACTGGGCAGCGGGCCACCCCGCCAGGACTGGCCTGGCCTGGCCGGCCACCCTCGGTCTCCTGGGACTGACCCTTGCCCTTCAAGCCGAGTTCCGCCCCTGCAAGCTAGCACCTCTCCCTCCCACTGAGAGGTGGGGAAACTGAGGCTGCGCAGGCCGCCGCACCCCCTGCACCCCTCCTCCCCCAGCGCGCTCCGCTCACTCCCCAGAAATTCCTTCCCGGGCTCCGCCCCGCCGTGGCCCCGCCCACCGCCCTCTCCAGGCCCCGCCCGCCTCCTCCAGGGGGCGGGGCCGAGGCAGCGGCGCCCATCATTGGCGAGAAAGGCTGTCCATCCGCGCGCGAGCCCGCCCCCTGCTCAGCCCAAGGCCTCCCGGAGCCGGCGGCGCCCGGGGGGAGGGGAGGGCGCTCCGGAGGCTCCGCCGCGGGGTCGCGGGGTCGCGGGGCGCGGGTGGGGTGCTGCTCCTGGACCCCGTCCCGCCACGAGTCCCTCCGGGCGTCCCGGGCCCCGCATTCGGGGCTCCCCCGCGCGCCTTGCCCCACGTGCCCGGCCTGCGCAGGGGGGCGGGGAGCAGAGCGGGGTCCAGCGGGGTGCCAGGCCGGCCGCTGCCCCAGCTGCGCCCACCCGCGCCGCAGCCCTGCCTGGCCCGGCTCAGAACCCCCGCCCCACCCCTCCTTGCTCCCACTCTTCTTGCAAGACACCCCATTTCCCTGTGACTCTAATACTCCCCCTTTCTTGGAAGCCCTTCCAAGGGAGACCCACCACCTCCCAGGGACTAGCGAGCCTCACCCGGTCACTCCCCTGCCCCAGGCTAGACAACCCCCCTGCAGTCCACACATGCGGGCAGGAGGGGGGCTGCTGGGGGGCAGGCGGGGGGGGGTCCCCCTCTGTGACAGATCGGATGTGTCCCTGTACCCCGGGGCCTGTCCTCCTGGGAGGACCTGAGCACAGAGGGAGCCAACTGGACCCCAGATGGGCCACACTGAAGACATGTGTGCATGCGTGTGCGTGCATGTGTGTGAGTGCATGTGTGCGCGTGTGCATGTGTGTGTGTGCGTGTGTGTGTGTGTGTCTATCCCGTGCTGGGCCACGGCAGAGCCGGCTTTCACCAGAGCTGACCCCTCTGCACTGGCATGGTCACCTGTGTGCTTTCCCACTGTCACCCACCCTCTCCTCCCCAGACCCCGAGAGCCATGGCTGCAGAGAGCAAGCCTGGGTTTTCCCCAAGACCCGAACCCCTGTGCACAGCTCAAGAGAGTCTTTTCTGGGGTGAGCCAGACCTGGCAGGACCCTCATTTGAGGACAGCGCCAGGCACCACTGGCTGAGGAGTGGCGCCCAGCTGCCCAGTCTCCCGAGGCTCCCCGTGCCCGGCTGGGGGCTGTGCCTGGCCCAGGTCTCGGCTTCCTGGAAGGCTGTGTGTGCGAGCATAGGGACACTTGGGGTGCTGCCCTCTGGGGTGTCCTCCTAGCAAGCTTGCCTGTGAAGTGGGGGG